GTAGGTATTTTGACAAAATTCAATGGACTTAAATTTTGATTTTGAACACATAGAAATGCTTTTTTTTCCATTAAAATGCTACTTTAAACTGTCAATTTTTAAAATTTTTCTTCCCAGGGAAGGGACTCCCTCCTCAGACCCCACCCCAGCATTGCGCATAATATTCGTTTTCACAAAAATATCATTTGGCCCATTAGTCCCCCCTTATTTAGATTCCAGATCCACCGCTGGTCAAGGGCATCACAATTTTTTATTTTTCAATCAGAGGTGCCACTCAATGAAGAAGATTGAAAAACACTGGCTTAACCGAACCAATCTCTAGCCGAGTACAGTGAGGACTGATTTCTTCATAATATTAGATGTAATAAAGACAGAATTTTTCCAGTTCAATGAGAGTGACTGAAAAGTTGTAAATTTTGGAAATTTCCGTGGACACCACCTAGTCGTAAAACGAATTAGTTAAAAAATAAACAATGGACAATCTATTAACATTAGTAAATAATATAAAATAAATAGCAAAAATTATAACAAGATAGTTATGGCTAGTAGATATATTATATCTAAATTAATAGATGTTATATGCTTTTTATCAAAGCAAGAATTGGCATTTAGAGGTCATAGGGCAAGGGTCACCAAACTTTTTTGATCGTCGATCCCCTACAAGTTTTCAAAACCTCACATTGACCCCCATCAAAAAGTTTATGTTACAAGCAAAACAAAATACTTACTATTTTAATACATTTCTTTTAATTTTGCATTTTTTTCATTTATTACATATTTGTTAATAATAATTTTTATAACTGACAATCAATGAGACGGATAAGCTTGATCCTTAACTCCCCCTTATCCTTAGCTTAAGCTTGATAATCGACCCCCAATAATGTTATATCGACTCCTGGGGGGTCGATAGCGACCACTTTGGCAACCCCTGGCATAGGGAATCTATTGAATCTAATAACAGAGGTAATTATATTGAACTTGTTTATTTATTAAGTATGTCAAATAATCTATTAAAAATGCATTTAGAGAAGTCTACGGTTTTTATTGGATTATCGAACAAACGAATACGAATGGACCCTAGACCAGTAGTTCTCAATCTTTTTGAAGTCGGAAACACTAAACTTTGACATTTTTTTCCATGGAACACTTATAATACATCAGCTTTAAAGCAGGGGTGGCCAAACCTTTTTGAAATCAAGCACACTTGGTCTAGTAGATGACGACATTGGCATTTGCAGATTACATTCCCATACAAAAATTATTTTACATTGTATTGTATTGGTTTTTCTTTTGCAACAATTTTTAATTGTATACAGGTACACCTCGCCTTACGTCGGTAATTGGTTCCAGGAGAGGCGATGTAAGTTGAAAAATGATGTAAGTCAAATTTACTTGTCTCCGAATCTACTTGTCACTAGGCTAAACCATGAATTACGATTCCCGGTTTTGTATTTTATTTATTAATGTATTTTTAATAATATATGGTTAATAAGGATCTATTTTAAGCTTACAAACAAATAAATTTTAGTTTTTAATATAGTACAGAAAAAAGTAATCTAAATTTACGAATGTAGGTACTGTAAATACAGTAGATACTTGTAAATGTATATATTTTAATATGATTTTATGTGCTTTAAACGTTTTTCTAGTAATATTATGACTTCAATATTTGTGGCAGACAGATGTAAAGTCTAACAAAATGACTTAAACTTGATTTTTATTTTTCCACATACTTTTTTGACAAATGACATATAATCGAGAACGACGTAACTCGAAATGTCATAAGTTGAGATATACCTGTATTTGATTTTTTCGCAGAACACTTGAAGTGGCTTTACAGATCACCCATGTTCTGCGGAACACAGATTGAGAACCATGGCCATAGACCATCACTGACGCGCAATTAACTAATTGCCCCTGGAAGTCGGCTTCTTACAGAAACATAGCTTCCCTATCATCAAATGTCATGGCACGCCACTGTTAGATAGTAATAATGATTAGTGATGACATGGAGACTAAAAGAAAGACATGTTAGTGATATTTTACACCTATATACAGTCGACCCCCCCATAACACTGTTGATAATTCCATTTTATATGAATTTCTTGTTGTATGAGTCACTTAGATTTTACAAATACGTATGCCGGATTGTGAGCGGCTCATGTATTTGTAAAATCTAAGTGACTCATACAACATGGAATTCATATAAAATGGAATTATCAACAGTGTTATAGGGGGGTCGACTGTAAACAAAGGACAAGTGTAGTAGGCCATCAATAAATCTTCATTCATATTCCACTTTTGATAGTGCAGAATATTATATAAATTACCAAAACATGTAGAGCCAATGTGAGTGTAATTTCTTATGTCAAAAATACAAAACTACTTCATTCCTAATACTATTTCTCAATATACTCAAATCAAGTAAACTTGTTTAGCACACTTTATGTAGTGTTAAAGTTAATAAATTATTTTAAAAATAGTTTGTCTTTATCTGGATTAAATTTCTATGGCTATTTAAATGTATCAGAGGAAAAGTTATGGTTTTCCTAATTATATTGCCATACATATGCAATAAAACAAAACAATAAACTGCAAATTTATTTACTTATTTTACCATTACCTATGTAATGAACAGATGTGTTATACTCAGAACATTGTGGACAAAACTTTCATTCACAATATGTAACAATATGACAGTTTTAAACAGATCTCTACTTAAAACCTGGATAAATTAAGAAACAAAAATAATTATTTTCGATTTACCACATACTCATCTGTAATTTAAAATTATCATCTTATTAAATTTTTTTATAAACTAAATACAGTGGAACCTCGGTTACAACCTTAATCAGTTCCTGATGTTTGGACTTATACCGAATAGGACGTATACCAAACCAACCTTTCCCATAAGAAGTAATGTAAAAATGATTAATCCGTTCTCATGTAAAAAAAAATGGCTGGCTTTCCTGGCTAGTTCCTGCTTGATTTTTTATGAGATCAGCATGTATCTTTTTAGGTTTCTCGAAAATAATTGCTTCTGATACACTGTTGCCAGCACACTGTTTTTCAGTTATCCAAAGCAAAAGCAATTTCTCAACATGATCTAATGTCTTTGATCTCTGTTTAGAAATTGATTTAACCCCTTTTGCAACATTAGCAAATTTAATAATGTCTTTATTTTTCACGATTGTTGATATTGTCATTCTCAGAATACAGTATGCAACAGTTAAATTTCAAACATGCATGCCACCTTCATATTTCTCAACAATCTCTTTTTTTTTCAGTTCCATTGTGATTCTAGTCATTTTTTTTTTTTTAGCTTTCTGTTTCTTTTCATTTGCCTTTTTGCAATTCATGATTAATAAAAATAATAAAATTTTACTTACAAATTAAAATCAGAATAAATTTAACCAAGTTATAAACCGTGGCACCGTGAACGTCTAGTCTGGTCTAGTACACCAATAGTGCTACTTGTTCATAGTCATAGATGGCACGTATAATTGAATCAAGTCATATACTAAGCAAAATTTGTTTTGTCCAAACAGGACATATTCCGAATTGGATGTATTCTAAAGCAGACATAGGCCTATACCGAGGTACCTCTGTATACATTTTTTTTCTTTATATATGATAAAATTAAAAAATGTAATTACAAATAAGAATTTTTTAACAGAACAGTATAAAAAAGTTACAAAAATGCTTGAAAATGGTAAAACTACCTACTAACCAAATGCATAAACCAACAACTTCTCCTCATAATGTGACTCTAGCACCAGCTATCGGCTACCCAACACATTTACTGTACTTTATAGCATAGCTCAAGTACCAGTATATCTATCGACTCTGGTTAAGTTAGGTTGATTATATTGGTCACCTGAGGATAGGAGGGAACCTTACAGAGGCATTAAAGGAGCAGAGAAAGAGAGAGTACTAGTGTCCAAGTGTTTCTAATTTAAGAATCACCATGTAGTCAATGAACATAGTTATTTATAAGCCAGTTGCACCAGTTTTAATTACCATAACTAGTCACACAGTTCTTAACATCTTACATAGCAAGCAAGCAGGTCTGCTAGATCATATGCAAACAGAATAGTAGGCAAGAGACCCTGATTTTGTTTATTATGTGAATATAAAAGCATACTAATTCCTTAATTCCTCTCTTATTACAGTGATATAAATGTGCCACACACCTGCTAGTATGCCAAATAAATCAAATTGGGATTTTGGCATTTCTTACTGACCAATAGTGACAAGGAAAAAATAACAAAATAATCAAAGCAAAGGTCTCCTTTGTGTTCAAATTTAATCCTTGGCTATTAAAATTAATAGTAATAACCCAACTGCTCAATGACAATTTATATAATTTATTTTTTAATATTTTCAAATAACTTTAAACTGAAATAAATAATAAAATAAATATTTATATATTTAATTGACAAGATATTAAACAAAATTATTGTTATAAAAGATTAAAAAAAGACTATAAAAACGAAAATAAAAAAAAACAACTTCAAATTTTATTTTAAAAAATACTTGAAAGCAATTAGTTGTGTAATTTGATGATTATACAAATCTCAAGTTCATCATTAATCAGCTGACTTGACAATTGTCCCATCCTTAATTTTATGAGAAATAGTTGTATTTGCATATACATTCAACTGATATTTAAATTGAATCAACCATAAGATTAAGTGATAAGTGATTTATATTCACATTTTAATTTGTTTGAAATTCATTCAAAAATAATCTGCAAAATTTATATGCTGTTTATACTTTTTACTCTATTATACATACAAGAATTTTTACAGTTATTTTTTTTTATTTGAATTTTCTATTTTATTTTCTTTCTTAATATGAGTTGTGTTATTTCATTAAAATGGTAAATACAATAAAATCATTATTTTTCAAACTATAAAATATAAATTGTTCATTAATTTATTTTAAAAAAAAATACTTGTAAAGATGGATAAATATTAACAAAATAAAAATGTTATTACCTTCTGTCAAAATCAAAATGTGGCATCATAATATACGATTTGCAGGTACTTTTCTTGCTTCAGATATAGCACAGATATGAACATTTTCAAAAAAATGCATAATCATAAATAGTTTCTGCCATACTGTTATCATACTTCTGATGTTTGGATATTTGGCGAAATACTTAATATTTAAAAATATTCTATTAATTTAAAATATTTTGGCAGTTTCTTCTCAAGTGATTAAATTAGCATTCAAATGTGATCAATTGCATCATACAAATTTGAAAATCCACATTCACATTGTAGAAATCTTGATTAATCTTGAAAAATAAAAAAACATTATAATAATAATTATTATTAACATCGTAAAATATATTGTAACATGAAATTACTAATATGTAAATAAATTTTTATTTATGCTATTATTGATTTTTACAATAAAAATCTATCTTATTGTGTATTAAAATATCAAATTTTATCTGGACAAGATGTATTTTAATAAAGTCAAAAATACTTTTAAAATCCAGCAAGGAAATTTTATACAACAAATATTTTTTGTGTTAGGTTATATTTCTGTTGAAAATCTGGAATAATATAAAATTTAAACTTAAATTCATCCTATATATCAAACCTAGTTTAAAAAACAAACTTCTAAAATTACACTTGAAGTCTTGAAAATAAATAAATTTTATTAAAATTACAATTATTTATAACATTTATTTATTTCAACAAATTATGTTATGTATTTGTTTATCATGAAACTAAACATATCAAATAATATTTCATCAGAAATGTTATCAGCAATTACTCTGATCATGTTCAGCTTATAAATATATTGAACAGTCTAGAAAAAGAAATTCAAAATAAAGAACAATAGTCATAGAAGAATTGATATAAAAACAGTTACAAGTATAAAGCATGGGAGAGTTGCATGGCGATATTGATGTAACAGAAAGGAATTCCCATATGAACAGTGTTCTTCAGTTCCCATGCATTTTAGGAATGAAATCCCTTACAACTGGGCTGAAACTATTAATAATATAAAAGTCTGTGTGTATGTATGTGAGTTCCTTATAACTTCTACAATTTTTGTCCAATTCAAATGAAATTTTAATTATATTTATTTGTTTTACATTCTGATGGAAAATACAGGCTACTTATTTTATTAAAATATTACCTATAGAATAAATGTTTTATTGATTTCATATTGATGATTGCACTTATGTCAGTGACATCATTTAATTAAAAATGCAACTTAATAGAATTGCTGTTAAGTTGCATTTTTAAATATTTTGAAAAATGGTGTATTTTAAACTTACTTCATTAATAAACAAAAACAAAAACACTGAGTTCGGCGTTATATGCGTTTTATTATCGCTAGTACTTTCGACGAGCTTATTGTCGTCGTCCTCAGGCGATTTAGACAAAAATTATCGAACACAAAATAGAACGCGTAATATAAATTGAAATTGTGCTAAAGCCGTTAAGAACACGTAGAAATTTAAACATAATTCGAAAGCCGAACGAGCAGATAGCTCCGTGAAGTGCGAGCTGGCGCATGCGCAGAGCTATGCTCTCGCTGCATGCATTCTAGAGACTACGAGTACTCGCTTAATCGCTTATACAACGTGACCCATACACTGGGCAGCTCAAGGGTAGGGGTGTTGCAAGTGTCCAAGGTGGTAGTGAGGAGAGATTCCCATATAAAAACAGTTTTTCGATCTTTGCAGCTCTTGAGCATAACCACTTGGGACCATAGCGGGTTGTAACCCTGCTCAAGTACCTTTTTTGCGAGCTCGGTGGTGTGTCTTCCCCTCATAACATCGTCTTGGTGCTCATCAAGGCGGCTGGAAAGCATTCTAGTGGTGGCCCCGATATATCTTGTATT